ATGATCTGTGCTGTGAAAAACACACAGCAAGACTTCCTTGAACTGTCCATCTGTTTGTGCGCTTTCCTTAGCCAGGTTTAATTTGGATTTGGATTTAGGAGTGTGCTAGAGACAGCTCAGAACAGTTGCTGTCAAGGATGACCGTAGGTTTCTGTGGGTGAGTAGCTGGAGCCTGTTAAAAAGCAAAACTGCTGCAGCTTCTGAAGATTCAGTTGGTCAATACAGTTTTGCAGGATAACTGCAGTGTGTCACAAGGAATCACACTGGACCTGTTCTTTGTTTTTCCTTTTTCTTTTTCTAGACAGTAAAGCCAAGGCAAATGTTTTGTAGAGCAGGACTATATATGCACCCTGAGCACTTGCTGAGGGAAGGTGGATTCATAAATGAATCCACATGTGAGTGAGGAGTTGTCTCTAGGGGTGGTTCAGTGCAGCAGTATTTAGATCCTCTGTCTGTATTTACCTGAGAGATGAATGAACAGAAATATTCTCCCTTACATATGCTCTTGCACAGGATTTGCAGTCTTAGAAATATGCAACTATAAATAAATAGCGACCCATAGAGTTGGTGCTATCAGATGTGTGGCAATGTTGCAGCAGACAGATCTAACTTTCTGTTACAGACAGATCCACAAATGTAGGATGTGGAAGTAGTTATCTGGGAGATACTCAAAAGCTTTCTGGACATGGTCCTGGGAACTGGCTCTTGGTGGCCCTGCCTGAGCAGGAGGTTGGACCAGGTGAACTCCAGAGGTCCCTTCCAGCCCCAAGTGATTTGTGATTCAGTAACAACCTTTAAAAAGCAAAGCATTAGAAAAGAAAGGCTCTTAATTCTCGATCATCTATAGGTCAGGAAGAGCTTATTACATCACCCAAGTGGGTGAGGCAGGGGAGTTTGTGACACTTCTCTGTTTCCTTTGGGACCTGTGGTAAGTTGTGTCATATATACAATGACTGTGTTGGACCCAGAGGAACAGGGTGCTGACTGCTCATGAGACAGTGGGGCTGGTGCCACCTTGACCCATGTGTTTCAAGAGTCATGTGCTGCAGGTGGCATGCAGGGAGGTGACTTGTGGCTGTTGATGGCATTTAATCTACTATGTTAAGGGTACCTCATAGTAATTTGTGATGTTTAAGTATCTCTTCATTGTACCTGCCGGGGATTCTGTGTGTTTATTCAAATGTGCACTTAGGTGTTTTAATGCAGATCCAACGAAGTGGAGCCTGGGGGAACTGTTCCTCTGCAGAAGTGGTCAGGCACAAAGAATGGTGGGGTTCTTTCTCCCGTGTGATTTTTATTTCCTGTTAGGCATTAATTAGAGATCTTACTAACAAAGCAACTCTCTTGTAACTGTTACCAGAGATTTTGACTCTCTGCTTGTGTGCCTGCCTGAGGCTGGAGACCATCTGTCCACCTAGTGTGGAGGAGTTGGCCAAGTCCCTGTGCCCATCCCCGCACCTGCCATGCACTGATGATGCTGTTGATGAGTGGTACTTCCAAACAGGAAGTCTAAAACCTATGACTTTGTATGAGTCTTATAGATTTTCTGCCTGTATGACTGTATTGCCTTCAGCACAGTGGGAAAAGGAAGCAAAGCACCTGAATGTTTTCATGGTTAGTTTTAGCTGCCAGTCAGGTGTGCAGTCACTGGGAAGGTGATTAACCCAGGCACCTCAAGTGCTGTTAGCTCCTTTCTAGGGCTGTGCAGTCTCGCTCTGAGCTCCCCTGTCTCACTTTGCCCTGTATGTGTTTATTGGAAGTAGCACAACAATTTTCAGTTACACTTGTGAAGCTCCAAGCTTCACAAGGGGAGGGAGGAGGAAGCAGGAGTTGCCCTCTTGCAGCAGGCTTGCTCTGAAAGCTGCTGTTTGCTTAGGCCAGCTGCCCTGAGTGTTTAAAAGCAACAGTCCATCTTCTTGGTGGATGGCCGATATATACTTTTACTGGATGAGTTTTAGGAGGGCGAAATACCTTTAAAGGAACTGCTGTATTTAATCTTCAGTAGCATTAAAGGCAGAATCATGAGGTGAATTTTTGGGCTGTGTGCTGCAGAGTAGAGACATAGGAAAGCTTATACAGGAGGGAAAGCCTGAGAGCGTTAACAGCAGAGAATTTAGTAAGATATTGAGAGAGAGAAAGTATAAGGTCCTCACATGATTTCATCTAGTTTGTGGCATAATGCCAAAACAGTTCTCAGTGTACCTCCTGGTGGGAGGGCACACAGCTCCCCTTAACTGGACTGTCAATATAATGGAAAATTGTATTGCAAGAGAGATTGACTATTGAATTGTAAGCCCTATTCTTATACAAGCATCAATCATTATAGTATTTAATTTACCAGCATATTTTCAGGACAGATTGACCATCATCTAAGATTGAATATGTCATCAGCATTTCCCAGGGACCCAGTTTGTGCTGAGTCTTCCCTTTACAAAGCCTTGTCAATATGGACAAAGTACTTAAATTATCTCTGTTTTGTTCCAGAACTGCACTTTGCACAGCCTTTTCCTTTTGAATTGGAAAGAACCCTTTTTGTTATTTCAGAATAATATCCACAGAGCTGGTAATTCCCAACATGGTTTATTCTATTACTGCTATTCCACTTCGTTTTCTACCACGGGTATAGAGAGATGACCTGGGCAGATTTGCTGTAGTCAATTGACTTTAAAGGGGGGGGAAGATAAAGTTTCTACCAAATTTTTCTTTCACAAAACTTGTGTCATGAGAGGAAGAGTGTTCTATTAGTGTAATTTATTGTAATTATCCATACACATACACTAATTAGACCAAACCTGGAGTAAATTAAGCTGATAGAAACTCTTTACTGCAAAGTAATGGTGAAGCCCCAGTAGTTCTACGACACTGATCTGTGCAGATTTCAGCTCAGAACCTGTGGGCTGTGGAAGAATTGGTGATGAGCAGTTGTTTGGTTCTGGGATACCAGGTCAGTCCCACGCTCACTCACCTTACCACTGCCCAGAAAAAAAATCAATTATGAAAAAAAAAAAAAAAAGTTATATTAATTTGTGGAAGTTTTGCATCAAAACTGGATCTTTCTGGTTTTCTTCATCTGCCATTAAATACTAAAATGTCCTTGGTCTGGAGGAGGCAGAGATTGTTAAGAATGGATTGAGAAGCCCGTGTTTCATAGGCAGTTAACAGTAATAAGATTGTCTCGGTATGCTGCACAGACACTCTGTGCTGTGCTGCCCTTGGGGTGGCGGCTGGTTGGCAGAGCTGCTCTGTGGGTGAGGCATGGACCAGCTGTGCCGTGGGTGCTGGGTGATGCTGCCATGCCGGGCATGCTCTGCACAGGCAGGGTCTTTGTGTTCATCTAGGCCATAGGGAGAAATCTGATCACTGGCAGCCCTGGAAAAATCTTAATGAAATTACAAATTCCAAGAAGAGATATATTTACAAATGTGTATTACCTCCAAGTGCATATCCCTGCATCTCAGAGACAGCATGATGTTCTCTGTGTAGTGCATGCATAGCGTTGGTCCCTCTGATTAATACTAATTCTTAGCACCAATTTTCCATTGATCTATCCAGAGCTCCAGGGTTTCTACAACTGAACCCTCTTAAGAGAGCAATTGATATTTCACGAGTCACAACAGACTGAGAAACTATATTATGTGGTTTCCAGCAGCTGAACTCCTCTGGAAAATGAATCAATTGCTTTCCCAGGTGTCTGGTTTTCCTGTTGATGGGATAGTGAACAGAGAACCTCAGGGTTATGGGAGGGAGCCTGGCTGACCCCCGGCGCCAGCCAGTGTTGCAGCCTCTGGGGTTTTTACATTAAATATGGAATGATGAATCGAGTTAACTGTAACAGCATTTTTTGTTTTGTAAAGCGCATGTTCAGAAACGCGGACATGGTTCTGCGTCTGGGCAGTAGCTGTGGGTCAGCTGGCAGCTGTTGCAGCGGAAGGACCCGGGCAGCGATCGCGGCTGCTCACCAGCCCCGCGCCGGGACAGGGGCCGCGGGAGGCAAGCGCCGCGTTCGGTTCGGAGCTCGCTCCTGGGGCTTGCTGGCGAGCGGCTGCGCGGCCGGCGAGGCCTCCGTGCCGCGAGGGGGCGGGCGGGGCCGGGCCGGGCTGCGGCGGGCGCGGCCGGGCACGGGCAGCGGGCGGCCGGCGGGAGCCATGCACGGAGAGCGGGCGCTGCTGCCCCGCCGGGACCAGGTACGGCGGGGAGCCCCGCGGGCCTTCCTCCGCCGGAGGAGCCCCCGTGCCCCCGACCCGGGGCTGGCCGGGTTCGGAGCGTGCTCCGCTCCGGAGAGGAACGCCCGGGTCGGGAGCGGCCGCTGCGGCCGCACCTGCCTGCCCGGCCCTTCCTGGGTTCGCGGCAGGTACTTGGCGGGTTGGATGGCGCTGAAACAGCGTTTAACTTTTATTTTTTGCCACGAGTGGGGTTTATCCTTTGAAACTCGCTATTTTCCTCCTGCTCGGAGACACCTGCTCGCAGGGTCTGCCGCGGCAGGGCGTGCATGGGGGTGCCTCTCACGCTCCGCTTTTCTGTTAAAAGCATTGACCGTAGTAGATCGTTTGTAGGTTTCACTGTTGCTGCTGTTCAGACAGGTGAAGCGCTAGGAACGACTCGGGTGTGCTGCAGTGTACGGTTAAACCGTGTTGCTTCTGCTCTCAGTTACCTTCTCGGTCTCTTCACTCTCTAGCTATTGAGCCCCTGCCCTTGTACTGATATCTTTGAGTGCTTGGTCCGCCAAGCTGGGGCGCCCTGTTGTGCATTTGTGCTTGAGTTTTGAGTTGTTTGAGGCGATTGAGTCAAGTATGAGAGCTTTTGCTTTTTTTTTCAACTTTTGCTGGATGTCTGTAAAGTATGTGAAACTCTTGATTGATACTGCCCCCTGGGCAGCCGAAAGAAGGTACATTTTTTTCAGAATTATATCTATTTGCTAAGTTGGTTGGCATAAAGAAGGAAAGCTTTTCTGTTGGTGAAGCTGCTGATTAGAACTCATGTTTCTCTCTCTCTGTGCTTAGATTGAGCGATTGGAAGTCAGCAGCTTGGCACAGACCTCCAGTGCCGTGGCCTCCAGCACTGATGGCAGCATCAACGCAGACTCTGTTGATGGGACCCCAGATCCACAGAGGACAAAAGTGGCCATCACACACCTGCAGCAGAAGATACTGAAGCTGACAGAGCAGATCAAAATTGAGCAAACAGCCCGTGACGACAACGTGGCAGAATACCTGAAATTGGCCAACAATGCAGACAAGCAGCAGAGTGCCCGCATTAAGCAAGTGTTTGAGAAGAAGAATCAAAAGTCAGCCCAGACCATCTTGCAGCTGCAGAAGAAACTGGAACATTACCATCGAAAGCTGCGAGAGATTGAACAGAATGGGATCCCTCGGCAGCCAAAGGATGTCTTCAGGGATATGCATCAGGGTTTGAAAGACGTTGGAGCAAAAGTCACGGGCTTCAGTGAGGGAGTGGTAGACAGTGTAAAAGGTGGGCTTTCAAGTTTCTCCCAGGCCACACATTCAGCAGCAGGAGCTGTGGTTTCCAAACCCCGGGAGATTGCCTCCCTCATAAGGAACAAGTTTGGGAGTGCAGACAACATTGCTAATCTGAAAGACTCATTAGAAGAAGGCCAAGAAGATGGGGCAGGAGGCAAGGCTCTAGGTGTTATTCAGAACTTTCAGTCAAGCCCAAAATATGGCAGTGAAGAGGATTGCTCCAGTGCCACATCAGGCTCAGTGGGAGCCAACAGCACAACTGGGGGCCCTGTGGGAGCTTCCAGCTCCAAAACAAACACTCTGGATATGCAGAGCTCAGGGTTTGATGCAATACTGCACGAGATTCAAGAAATTCGAGAGACACAGGCAAGACTGGACGAATCATTTGAGGACCTTAAGGTTCGCTACCAGAGGGATTACACATTGATCATGCAGACCCTGCAGGAGGAGCGGTACAGGTATGTGCTGTGCTACTTCATTTGACAATCCAATGCTGTGATTGCAAAGCACCAGAGTTAGGGATAGCGGTGCTCAGCAGGCTGTTCCCAGCAGCCTGATTCAAATGGATAGTTCTGTGGTCTTCTCAGCACTTTTCTCTCCCAGTTCTGCCTTTTATAAATACTGCTATCTTGCTGCTCACCTTCCTCTCTGTACAAGAATGAGATTGTAAGGAAAAAGGTTATTTCAAAGTGTTTTCAAGATAAAAAGTGAAGCTGAAGAGGTCTAATAAGGTGTCCCAAACCCAGGGGTACACTGGATGCAATTACTTACTTGTTATCGACAGTGCTTTTGCCTTGCAAAAAATCCTGAAAAGATTTGGATCAAAGCAGAGGACGGGGAACTAATGTGGACCTGACTTGACCCTGCCTTCTCCAACACTCAGATCCATGTCTACTAGAGAAAGAAACTTGCCAGCTTTCTTCAGGTTCTCTAAAAAAGACATGATCTTGCCCTTGTGCCAAAACTTCCTTTCCCTTCTTTGTTCAGCCCACAGTGGCAGCACTCAGGGAAATGAAGTTGAAATAAATGTCATATTTACGACAGCGCTCTTGTCGTGGAGATTATAGGGCTCTGGAAGCAGGTAAACCATGTTTCCATCAGTCTTCCCCTCACTGGAAGGAATGGAAAGGTGGACCAGTTGCTGCAGTACTGCTGATCCCTGATGAAGTCACAGGAGAGAGGTGACAGTGGCTTCAGTAAGGCAGCCTGGCCGGCTGCCCCCACCTCCCTGCTGAGGAAAGCTGCCCGTGGGGAGGTGCTGAGGGAATACTTCCCTTTCCTTGCCAGGTGGGAGAGGCTCTCTGCAGACTGCCCTGTGCTGTTCAGCAGAACACCTGACATCCTCCCCCTCACATGCTGGGAGCCAGGGCTTGACTCCAGGCTCTGAAGGGAAGAGTTACTAGCTGCAGGCATCCGAGACAGGATTCTTAAACTTTAAATAACAAATGCAAGGCCCAAGCCCTCGTTCTGGTGAAGGACAGCAGGCTGTTCTCACGAGGTTCTTTATGGCCTTCATGACTTTCAGGATGTGAAACACAACCTGTAAGGCACAGCAGAGCTGCTGGGGTTATGTACAGGCTTGCCGAAGTGCCCTGTGCCACTTGCTGCACTGGTTTGTGCAGCGTAACACGGAGTTGCCCTACAGCTCTTTAGACAGGCTGATGCCAAATCATTGGAAAAACTCTGGAAAAGGCTAGCCTGCTAGGATCTGGTAGAGACAGCAAGCTCTCAGTGTGCCTTGCAGAGCTTGCACAAAGCCAGACCAACACCACTTTCTAATCCCGCTTTGCAACAATCAGCAGTTTGACTGAAACCAGCAATCAGCACAGCAGCTTTGGTTCCTAGTGCCTCATTGTCATCAAGTCATCCCAAAGCCATGTGGAGCTGGATCTTCTGCTCCACAGCAGAGAGGTGCTGTTGTCTGTTGCTGTGTAGGTTGTTGTTTCACACATACAGCAGCAGCCATTCATGGTGGAATGCTAAATGCAAGCACAGCACAGCTGAAGGAGTGGCCTGAAAGTACAATAGCAGACCTGATGTGTGCTGTCAGCTAAAGGAGCTGATTACTGCCCAGCACCTCTGAGCAAGGCTCACATAGGTCCCATACTAGCACACCATGAAGTCGTATCTGTCGTGTGCCATTAACCTTTGCAGAGCACTCCCCTGAGATCAGCCCAGACCCCAACCACTAACCAATGCAGCCTGGAGTGAAAAGCAGGCAGAATCTGCATTTGGCTTATAAAAGCTTAAGATAGTAATTGAGACTTGTCATTTGGAATGTTGATGCAATTAAAGGTGTGACCTCTAAAGAGGACCAGTTAAACCACACTCAGTGCCCTTGCCTGTGTGGGTAGCTACATGATCAGCAAGAGCTCGTGGGTTAATCAAGGTTAAATGACTATGTGACTGTACAAATGTAGATTCTTGTTTTTATAGCTTCTGTATTTTGGACCGTCACAATGATAAAAGCCAACATCATTAGAAGTGGAAGGTGATGTGATATGTCCAAAGGCAGAGGGTGCTGCCGCCTAGGCAGGGAGGGGTAACACCTGTTCTTCCAACTGAAATCCCTCTTGCTCCTCAGCTCCCTTCAGAAAAAAAACTAAAAGGGAAAGGAGGTTGTGGCTTGATGCTGGCAGGTGGGGATTCAGATTAATCATAACTGGCTTTAAAAGTTGTAAATACCTCCTAATTCTGCTCTGTTTATGGGAAGCTTTCAAAGATAAACACAGAGTTGGGTTGGAGCTTAAAAAAAAAGTCTTTGGAGGAGCCTTTTGCTTGTCAGGTGATCCTGAGTGTTTGCACTGTACCTGGAAGCAGGAACAAAGAACATGCCATGACATTTTCTCACCTGCTCTTTGTCCATTTCCTCTTTCTTAGATCATCTATTGTTTTGCAGTTTCTGTTTATCAGCCATGAAAACACAGGTTTTCCATGACCTCCTTCATCTCTTCCCTCCCCTCTCCCTGCTTCCCAGTCTTGTCTGTTGCTCCATGTGGCTGCTGGTTTGCTCACCCCAGTGTCTGAGGCAGGGACTCACCTGTCCAGTTGCTCCAGTTCTCCCGGCCTGGCAGCACCGTGGCGAGGCCAGGGTGGGCTGTGCTGCCCAGCACGGGCTGGCCCTGGAGCACTGCTCTGCTCTGCTGGGGCTGAGCCACTGAGGAAGGAAAAGTCTGATGGTACTTGGCCATCATTGTTTTCTTCTGCGCCGGGAGCAGGTGCTGAAATGGCTTGTTGCTTATCTCATTATTGGAAGGTGGCAGTTGTTTACTGATACAAGCAGGGACTTTCTGTGCTATTGAGATTGAAATAAAGTTCCTGATGAGTATTTTCATCTTGCTTGTCCCTTTAGGAGCCTGTTTGTACATGGCAAAATCATAAGCTCACATATTTGGAGTGTGGCCAGTCTAAGGTTTTGGGTTTCTTCCCAAGCCTGACAGCCTTAGAAGGAGCATTTAGGTCTCCCATGCTCCTGTCAGAAGAAATCCTTCAGCTAAAATGCTAATCACTGGTTCTTCCATTTGTCTGGGTTTTGATGTAGTCTAATTGTCACACTTCAGCCTGTCCTCATGGTGTGTTTTAAAATAGATCAAAGGAGCTAAACCTCGGAGGTTTGGGAGGGTTGGCAGGGCTGTTCTGGAGTGTCGCTGGGCAGTGGAGGCAGCGTGTTGGGCCAAGCTGGTGCTCACCCAGCCAGGACAGCACCAAAACATTCCTGCAAAGCTGTCTGTCCTCCTTCCAGGGAGGCTTGGAGCTGGAAGTACAGGGATGTGTGTGGGTGTTGGGAGCAGCTCATGCTCCCTGTCAGGAGCAAGCTCTGTCCTTTGTGGATCCTTCTAGGTAGAAGACTTGGAGTGTACTACAAGTAACTACTGCTTTTAGCTGTCTACTCCACTATTGGAAGCAGTGTTCAGTAGCATAAAGATGTATTTAGTGACAAATAAACTTCACATGAAGGTTTGTATGACATAGCTATTAAAAGAAAAAAGGTCCATCTTGAGAGACATCTGAAGACAGGTATTAAACTTCATTCAGGCTACTGCAGACATCTTTGTAGCTTTAGTTTGATCAGAGTTTCTTTACTCACCATAGCACTGAGTGCAGATCAAATGTCTTTTTTTATCACATCCCTCTCTTCCATATGCTGTGTTAGCTGTGTATTTTGCAGCTATTACTTTAAAATACCTTAAAGCTTTTTTAAAAAATGAGATGGTCATAATTGTGTTTCTGAGCCTTTTTCAGACTTTCCTGATTCGCACACAGTGAGCCTCAGAAAAACGTGTGGAAATCCTACACAGCTATTTGAAGTGAAGTGTTTCCATATTCCACACTTGAGCCAAGCACCCCAGCTGTTTACTGTGTCCACAGGAACAGCTCTGATGATCTCTGTGATACTTGCTACAGGCAAGTCACAGGTCTGACCCTGGCACTCGTGAGTTAGAGGAATGTACTTCATCTTAACCCTCCTGACAGGTAGTCTATCCCTTTTACTTCTGTAATATTCCCACTTGAATGCAAATCAGCTTTCAACAGGGAGACCCTGGTTCTGGGCCCTGCAAGTCACATAAACCCCTCCTTGCTTTTTAAATTTGAACACCAATAGAGAGCAGCTGGAAAAAAAAAAATTCTAAATTGTAGATATTGGGACAAGTGAAAAGAAACTGAATAGAGGGTGTGTCATTTCAAAAATAAATCAGGGTAGGTTAGTGGGAGCAGGGGTGTGTTTTTTTACATAACCCAGTTCTAGCAGTTGCCTGACACAGTGAGTTCTGGAAGTGCAGGTGATCTTTGGATGCAAACTGCAGCAGTTCTGGGGTTGAGCAGGAAGTGAAGTGTGGGTTGGGAACGATCTGGTTGTTCTGCAGTCTTCAGGGCAGGAAGATTAGAGCCAACCCTTCTGCTAATCATGTTCTGTTTAAACACTTAACTACACAGATTAGTAGGGTTTCCTTATGTTTCCTGTAGATTGGGGTAGTTTTGAAGTTATTAAAATACAATTGTTTCTTGTTAGAGAACAGGATTTAAACTGCTTGGCAACAGCTGCTTTATGAAAGCCGTTTATGTGAGAAGTTAAAAAACACATGCTATTTTCAGAAATGCTTAAGTTTCTTTTTGTATAATAAACACACTGGTGAATTTTGTAATATAGTAACAAATAAATATATTTCAAGTAATCTATGCTGTATTTGGGGCTTGGAGTGGGTTTAGTTGTGATATTTTTGGTTGTTGGCAAGTTGTCGGTTTTAAATTGTGTAGGAACAAAGGGCAATATTAATTATCAGGGGTCCTTCTTAATTAGCCAGTCTTCACATGGCCATTCCCTTGTCAGTCTTGGGAAACCACTTCTCTGGTGTGTCAGAGCTCTTCTGGCACCTTTCTGAGCTGAGCCATGTCAGTTGGTTGTCTTGGTCTCACTGCTGGTTGACCACGTGCATTTTACTGCTGGAAATTGTCATGCTGTGTCTGATTCCTCTTTAGTTTAAAGCAACATTGCATTGGGAACAATAATGAAAATCCTTTTCATACTTGTCTATTAAAAACAAAACCCCAAGACTGTTTCAAAGGCTAGCTTTTGACTACAGATTCTGAAACACCAAAAAAAATCTTGAAAAAAAACTAGAAGCAGAGTTTGTGAATTAGTTTCAGAACTTGCAATTAAATTATTCATTCTAGATAAATATTGCTTATTCATCTTGTGGGGGTTTTTGGTAGGAATTAAATTCAGTGGAGTCAGAAGAAAACCAAAATTTAAACAAGGAATTATCTCTGTGGTTAATTTCTTAGAAATGTCTTGGTTATTAGTATCAAGATGCAGATGATAAGGGCTATGGGGTAAGCTTTTTCCATCTGTTACAATGAGTAGACAGTGGAAATCAGAGTGGAAAAAGCCCAGTGGCCACCATAGCTGTGCCCACACCTTTGTTACCATCAGAGCTACCATTTCAGATAATTTGAAACTCTCTTAGGGAGAAGCAAAACTTTATCTCTCAGAATTGTTGTAACTCCGTTTTTTTGTACAACCCTCTTCCTCAGGACTGCTCCTGGTCCATTCACCAGGAACAAACTGAAAAATAAGCCTTCAGGGTTAGTGATTCACGTGTCCTTACAAATAATATGATGCTATTTGCTTGTTAAGTTGCATCATTCATGGGAGATAAAGGAAAAACAAATCAAAGATCCGTGTGACCTCATGCAGAGATCAGACAGTTAACAGCATGTTCTCTGAGGCATCAGTCACATGTCATTTCTGTATCATTTTTATGCCCATTACTGTTCCAAGTGTAGATGAAAATGCTTAAGAGTTCATAGTGTTAGAAGGGAACTGTTTGGTTTACACAGAAGTTTGGTGAATGCCTCATTCCGTTCTCATTCTGTCCTCAATTTCTTGCATTACTCAACAGTTACCATGTAATTGTGTATTTTCTTCAGTTTAAGTGTCACCAAGTCTACCTGGTAGACAGAACTAATTCCCAGCAAGAGGGCACTGGTGCTAGAGTGTGCTGTGTGCTGACTGAGGCAGCCGTGCTGGTTTCAGTACACAGGCCGTGGTGTTCATTGCTTGCTTGTCACTGGTGTCATTTTGCCATCCTCTTCTCATTAAAGCCATTGTGCCATGTGTTGTCATTTCTAGATGTGAAAGACTTGAAGAGCAGTTAAATGACCTGACTGAGCTCCACCAGAACGAGATCCTCAATTTAAAACAGGAGCTGGCCAGCATGGAGGAAAAGATTGCCTATCAGTCTTACGAGCGAGCCCGGGACATCCAGGTGGGTGACAGAAGCAGGGACCCAAGTCCTGCCCTCTGCCTACTCTTTCAGGAACTCACACACTTTTGAAGTAAGCCTACACTTCAATATTTGATTTTAATCCTTGTAGCTTTATTGCTAAACTGCTGCATTCCAAAAGGCCCTTATTCCATCTCTGACCTGTGGGTATCTCTCCAGGTAACCTCCTCTGTAAAGCAGGACTGTGCCCCACACAGAGGGAACCTGCCGCTCTGCTGGAGCAGAGCAGGAGCCAGAGCCCACTCTTTGTGCTGGCCTTTGTATTAGACACTCAATGGGCCATGACCCAAACACTTCTTTTATAGTAGTGTTCCCTGTACACAGGCCCTGGGGTATGGTTCTGTGTCACTAATTTTACAGCAATAGTCACATACATCTAAGGAAAAATGGCTTTGTGTGTGCTCTCCATTGACTCAGGAAACAATTCTTTCTGTTGGCTTTGAAGAAATAAGGAGGTGTTTCTAAAAGAAAAGTTTCTTTTAGCATGTATAAAAGGCTATGAAACAGAGTCTTGAAGTTGGAGGCCCTTCCACAAAGCAAAGCAGCTGCTGACCCTTACAGAGAAAAGCCTATTCAGAAACAAGTCTCTTGACTATTTTAAGTACTTGCTGTGGTAGTTTTAACAGATATCTCAGTTCTGATGGCTGATGGGAGATATTTGTAGTGTGAGCAGAGAGTTGTAGATTAAGAGCTCTCCTTTTTTCCTGCTGAGGGACTTCAGCCAGGTGATTTCCTCTGGAGACCAAGCAGGCTGTCCTGTTCGCCACCAGCTGCAACTCTTCTTGTCAAACGTTCTTCCTGCTCACTGCTGTTTGGGGCAGCTGAGCAATTCTGCCCTGTGCTTTCAGGGGTCTTAACCAAGGAGAAGCCCTCATGTTTCATTGACCCCCACAGACATGATGCAATGAGAAATGTAACAGGTGACAATGACCTTTAAGTTAAATATAATCACTGTCTGTGGACAGTGGTGCAATGGCCCCTGGCAGGGTAAACAGGAGGCTCTCCCTTGGGGGAGTGTTACAACGGTCAGGTTTTGTTCTCCTCTCTAAATTCAGATAGCAGGAAGATTGAATTGAAGTGGGGATTTCTTAACAGATTTTTTTTAATCTTCATTGTTTGACTCGGTGCTTTTAGTGTAAACTTAAAAGTTGGGACAGCCTATTTCTCAGCGCTGCTGGGGAAAAGAGAAGGAAGTATTACATATTGTTGTATGAAAAACTATTTAAGAGCATGGACCGATGTTGCAGAGGAACAGTCCTGGTTCCTTTTTTTGGTGATCAGTCTAGGAAGGACTGCTGCAGACCTGTGTATCATATTTGCAGTTGGCCAATGTATCTGGAAAAGGTGACTCTGAGGGAAGATTAGTAGAAATATTGTAACTTGCTATCTTCAAGAGCAGAAGTTTCTTTTGGTTAATTGCCTGAAAACCTCCCTCCTTCTCCCTGGCCCCCTGTGTTGCATGTCACTGGTGTTTTAGTGTGGGTTGGGTTAGTCCAGTTGGGGTTCAGCCCAGTGAAAAGGTCTGACAAGTCCCTCTGAGTCAATGGGGCTTTACAGAGGTGGATTTGTGCAGGGTAGTCTTTTCCTTCCACCTCCTTTCGTTTTGCCTCTTCCTGTAGGCAGTTCCATAAATCTCGTGCTTCTTTCCCTTCTAGCTGTCTGTCCCCAGCCCTCGCAGAGTCAGCTGGAATTGTGCCAGTGCCACAGCTTGCTGCAGTCTGGAGAAGATCTTCCTGCAGTGGCAGCTGTGCAGGTGCCCCTCAGGCCTTTCCCTGAGCTCACAGCTCACTAAGCAAGCAGAACGCAGCTGAGCCTTTGGTAGTTATTTTTGTTGATGTAGTTTTCTGCGAGGTTGCCTAGTTTTCTGCAAAGGGGTCAGATAAGCACAAGTGACTGCAAGGAAGGTGATGGAAGTTGAGGTTCTGGGAATGCACATCCCAGAGGAGGATGAAGATTTCTGGCTATACACAGCACCTTTGTCCTCTGAGTGGCCTCTTAGAACTAAAGCTGAAGTGACACCAGGTGGCTGGGTAGCCCCAGCTTCTGGGCAGAAGCTGTGGGGTTTCCCAGCCCAGCATCTCCATCTCAAGCTTTCTGGGTGTGGATGAGGTGCTGTGGTGTATTGCAGGCTGCAGTGCCCAGTCAGCAAGGGGCTTCTCACCTTGCATATGGGCAATGGCACTGTTTCCTGTGCTCCCGCTGCAGGGCAGGAGCTCGGTGTGTGAGCAGTGTGAGGCTGGGGATGGTGGTCCTGCCTTGGCCTGGTTGGTAACAGCTGTGAACTCGAGTGACCCAGTATGTGCTCTTGCCCACAGGAGGCACTGGAAGCGTGCCAGACACGCATCTCCAAGATGGAGCTGCAGCAGCAGCAGCAGCAAGTGGTGCAACTGGAGGGGCTGGAGAATGCCACGGCCAGGAACCTACTGGGGAAGTTCATCAACATCTTGCTGGCTGTCATGGCTGTCCTCCTCGTCTTTGTCTCTACTGTGGCCAACTGCGTCGTGCCCCTGATGAAGACTCGCAATAGGACGTTCAGCACTTTATTAATAGTGGTTTTCATTGCCTTTTTGTGGAAGCACTGGGATGCCATCACCGGCTACTTGGAACGATTCTTGTCTCCCCCCAGATGATGGTGGCAGGAATGGGCTGCGCTGCTCCCTCCTGGCGCTCTTGGTGAGCAAGTGTGGCAAAGATTAGTCAGCAACTGCTCCGCTGAAGTTTTAAAGTGTCTGAGTGAATTTGTTTACATTTAGAATAACGTTTTTTCTCTGCAAGATGCATTGCAATAGTATTTTCTAGATTTTATTCAAGAACTCTTTTGGCGAGAATCCTGGATAATTTTTATGTAGCATGGTTCTCTTTGGATGCAAATCTTAAGATTCTTTAAAGTGTACAAAAGAAATGAAAAAACCACAGAAACTTGGAGCATACCAATGGGCAATTTAAATTGTGGTTTGAACTACTGTACTAAACCTGTCAGGAAGAAGAGAACGTGGTTAGCTTAAGATGGGCAAAGCTCAATCTAGTGCACAGCCTTGAATGATGGTACCACAGCAAACTTGTAACACTAAACTCTTACTGTGAAGTCTGCTCACATTCCATGTCCGAGTGTATGCGTTGAGTGGTTTCTTTCCTTAACAAGAGAAAAACAACAACGTGTGGATCCCTCTCCCAGCTCAGCATCTGGGTTTGCCGTTTGTGCTAACCTGACTTCAGTAACTTTCTGTAAGGCTGGCTAACGTGGCTGATTATATGGAGTGGAAGCCTCATGCCATACACGTGCACAGTAACTGCGCAGTCGTGCTACAGTATTTTGAAGTAGTCCTTGAAATACTTATCTTTAAGCAGAAGCCCTTGGTCGCACTTTTAAGGTTTTTTTTAATATATGTATATTCACAGATTTAAAAAAAATCCAAACAGCATACTTGAAGAGTGTAATACTCAAACTCTCAGTGCTTCCTTATTGTTTCTAATAGGATTTTTTATTATTATTATTATAATTATAATTATTATTATTATTATTGGGGGTTTTTTTGGAAGGGGTTGGGAGGGTCATTACTTTTTTTTTCTTTCAAATAAAGAAGTGATGTTTTTAAATGAAGAAATGCGTGAATAATTGTGAGCCGTCTTGTCCTGAAGCAGTTCTGAGGAGGGCAGAGAGTAGTTTCTAGTGTCAGCCTGTGGAACACAGCACTGTCCATATGCCATTTGTTTGTCCTCCTGAGCATAAAGATGCAGCATCATGGAAAACATCTGTCTTCTCCACACCTTTTTATCATGCAGGGCTTTTTATTGTTTTTCCACGTGTGAAGGATGGTATATTTATATTTTTTATTTGCACGTCATCTCTCATTCCTGGCCTCAGGATAAGAGCAAGGAATTTCTGTTCATCTCTTCCTAAGGAAAAGACAGGTTCTTTTGAGGAAAAAAATACTGACTCAACAGTCCACTTAACAGAATGGTTATCTCAAAAATAGTTCTAATAAAAAATAAAAAAAAAAAAACAAAAACAAAAAACAACCCTGAAAAGTGAAACCAAAGCTTTCCTCCTGTCAGGCTCTGGTAAGGTTGTGTCTGTGGTGTGCCATCTTCTTTTCCAGTCACAGGGCCCAGCACTTGGTGCAGAAACCTTTGCAAATCTCTAAAGGAAATGTCAGCTTCAAATGTAACCCCAAGTCCTCACAATGTGCCGTTGTTGGTGGCCTGTTGGTACAGGCAGGCAGCCCTCAAGCACAAGGAATCTGCCTTCATTCTGTGCTGGTTTTTAACTGCTGTCCCTTTCACCATAAGAGTGCCAAGATTCATCTTTTGTCTTCGTGAAATCTAAAAAAAGACTCCAGGATTCTGTCAAAACCATTTATGGTGTTTAGTAAGGTCTTACCGTTTTCCTTCCTTCCAGGATCAGCTTCCCTCTGGGAATCAGATGTTGCCCAAGTGACCTAAACCAGCTGAAATTATACACAGGCATGTATTAGACATGGACAACATATATATACACACATGGGCATTGTGCTATGATGCAGATTTCAGGTTCGGAGAAATTCCCTCAAACAAGGTTAATACCTTGAGTGTTTTCTGATTGCCAGCAAATGCAAGCCCTCCACTGTCCAACCATCCTTCTTCCTCCAGGGGTTCTTCTCTTCAGTAATCACAGGAAACTCAGGTGCCCTTCCCCCAGGGATCCCAGTACACCTCTCTGTCACCATGTGTACTAATCTGCTCTGTCCTAATTAAAACACAGATTGCCATTTGCAGCTGATTCAAGCCAAAACTGCTTTTGCTTTCTGCAGCGTCACAGCCAGAGCAGAGGTGCGTGGCCATTCCCTCCCTTGCTCCTGGCTCCAGTGAGGTTCTTCTCTAGTGACTCACATTCCTTGGGTAACTGTCAGCTTCCCATTATGCAGGTTGTGTGAGAAACAAATGTGTGAATCAGTAAGAACTGATTTGGTGCATAACTGAAATGCTTTGTTGCCTTTTTTTCTGAAACTTGGCCTTTGTACCTCTTTTTCTCTGTCTTGTTCTCACTAGAATTGCTTAAGGAAATTTTTATGTGGTCAAATCAGGAAGGATTTAAAAGCTAGTGGCTCTGGACACTCAGTGTCTGTAGTATTTAAGGATGTGTTTTTCCATCTTCTTTATATCCCAATTTCATTTATTGTCTCAACTCTGTCATATTCAGTAAATACCATTTGCTAGCTTGCCAGGCTTAATAAAAATTGACATCTCGGAACTCTTTGGTGAAGGCCATATACATATGGGTCTGGACAAAGTGTCTGTCTCTTTCTCTCTCAACAGTTCCATTCCAGAAAGTTGTCTGCAGTAACATCATGTATGATGCTGCATCCACTTCTCGTATCCTAACACAACTGCCATGTGTTTTGCCTTTTGCACTAGCAGAACGTTTTGGGGTTTTCCTCCCTCTTCAATTTGAAAGTCTGTGATGATTTCTGATAGCTTAATGATGATGTTGTTGGAAATGTGATTCTAGCTTTAAAGCTCCTTTTCCTTGTACATGGTTGTGTTTGCTTTCCTGATGGAGTGTTTCTGGATGATGCATAGACAGTTTCTGCTGTGGATGTGAGTGCGTGTGTGAGTACCTTTAATAGTCTCCTTTGTAGATAAAATCCTTTTAGTGACCATCTCTGAGTTGCAGAATGTTTCCCAAAACATTTCACATTCGGAGTTGAAGTGATTCAGAAATCGCTTAGATGTGTTTAGCACATACTGCCGTGGCACATAAAAAGGGAAAAATATAATGGGCTGTGTAAGTTCCAAGAGCAGCACCTCCTCATTAACATTGGAGGGTTCAAGTGAAGTTCATCTGTTTCCCCCATTTCCTTCAATATAAAGAAGAAAGAAAATCTTGATGGAAAATAACTTACTTTAAAAATTTGATAAAGTTCTTTTTTCTCTCAGCCTTATTAGTTTAGTTCAATGATACTCAGCATGCTCCCAGCAGTTACTCTATTGGTTTATTCCAATCCCATGCGTGCTTAGGTGGGATCAGATTAACTGTTGACTTATGTGCGTGTTACACTGGGACAGGAAAGCACTGTCTGTCAGCTTTGAAAATATGCATTTTTTTAATTAAAAAAAAGAAAAGGCATTATAACAAAAGAAGCCAAGCTACAAAGGGTTCAAGATTGGGTAGTTTTGCCAGTTTTTAAGTGAATTCTGAAAGTGGCTAAAGAGTTACAAACCCTGTGTGTCTGTGTTGTGTATGCCAGGTGGTATAGTTGTAGGCAATTGACTTAGCTGTAAGTGTGTTTTTAAAGTGTAAAAAAATAAACGGAAAAACTCACTTGCACGGGTTGAAAAGTACAGAAATGACACTTGTGAACGTAACACTGTAGTTTATAGATCTTAAGCTGCTAATTGTTGAGAGAGATTTACATTTGTCTTGTCTGATTGTCGCAGATTTATCTGTGGCACTTTTACTGTATATAAAAAACTTTAAATAAAGACCTCAGCTATTAACACCGGTCTAGTTTGGATCTTTCCAGAGGGGCAGCGGGAGGGAGATGCTGTCATGGAGAAGAAGAGGTGTGTGTCAAAATTGCTGAGCCCTAAGAGCTCAAAATGTGAGCAAGTTTTCCATAGCTCTGATTGTCAGACTTCATCCTACACTCAGCCACACACTGCTAGAACACAACAAAAATAAGCTGGTGTCAGTGTCTGGTCTTTGCAGGTAGAGGAAAGGAGCAGCAGCATTGCATTCATTCTCATTGATTGCTTCCAGCCCCCTTGTGTGTGGGACAGCCTCTGGTGGGGCTCGTGCATCACAGTGTCTCTGCCTGCCTCCCTGCCACACTGACTCGGTTTGCAAGTGAGTGCAGTCAAGTGAGGTGACTTACCCAACAAGTGTCTGTCCCACAAGGACCTGAAGTTAGTCCTGTATTTTCCCACCGCTGGTTGTGACCTGCCCTGTCCCAGATGAGAAGGGCCCTTGCTTCTGTGGACTTTGTCCTTCAGGGATTTCAGGGCCCACTCTGTGTCAGCTGCATATTTAGAGGCAGGTGCAATTGTAGCATCACCCATGTGTCTCAGGGAGCTTGTGATGGAGCAGTTCCAGGCCTGGATGAGGAAGGCTGCAGCTGCAGGAAGCTCCCTCTCCCTGAGCAGAGGCAAGAGACTGCAGAATGTTGGTTGAGCCACTGCTATAAACAGAGGTATTTTAGCTACTGTGTTTCGTAGAAGAATTTCTGAATCCTTTATTATTTGTACAAACTGGAAGTGAGCAGATTCCTCACTGATGTGGAGAAGATACTCTCCAAGTTCCTCTTGGTTTTTGGTCATGTGGTATCAGGAACAAAGAACCAAGAAGGGAGTGGAAACAACATTTTAAGGAGAAAGGTACCCAGTCCTTCTCTCTGTTTTCACAGAGATGCAAGTACTGTAAAACCAGCAAGAGATCAAAAAGCAAAAGCAGCTGTTTGCAGGATTTTCCCCTCTGTAATCTCCTCACAACCAGAATGCAAATTCCATCAGTTTATGGATGAAGAGAGTGCATGGTGCTGCTTTTGCTAGAGCTGTCTGGCTCTAGGATGGGCCACGGCTGTGAAGGTGAATGGTTCTGCATTCTTGTGGGGCAGACACCTGAGAGGTGCTGGCTGTGGCTCAGGACCAGCAGGGGGGCATGACGACCAAAGGTGAAAGCACTGGCCTTCTACTCCCATGTCAACAGATTTAATCTGATAATTTAGGGGATTAGGTGGTGTTACTCAGTATTTTGGTTAGTCTGTGGGAAGTGGTTCGATAGCTCCACCCAGGTCCTGGGGAGCAAACAGGGATATGGCAAGGGTACAGCCATGCTGGGTTGCAGCAGTGGAGGTGAGGAATTGGCTCGTGTTTCTCACTGGAGCAGTCATTCTCCCTGGCCAAATAAAACCACCTTGATGTGTTAATAGTGGAAATATTTGCAAATAGCCAGCTCCCTACCACAAAGTATCCATCTTCAAGTTGTTCCTTAAACGCCAAATCCAATGGTGTTTAAGTGTTGGTGAGTGGTTCATCAGCCTCGGCGGATCCTCCCCCACTGACTGGAGTTAGAAATAGGAAGAGGGTTCTTTGCTGCCTGAGTTAGCATGAAATAGAACTTCCCAGGGCAAACCAGCTCTGCTGAGTGGCTTGTACTCTAGCCAGATCCCCTCTGAAATTAGGATTAAGAGTCACCTCATACGTGTTCTTGCCTTTGTACCAGCCTTGTGCCAACCCTGGCCAAAGGGGAAAAAATAAGTAATACTGTTTGAGGAGAAAGGCCAGAGCAGGGAAGATGCAGTGCATTTTCACAGTCATTTCCTCCTCCTCAGTGCAGCTGTTCCTGTAGCCCTGCTTGCTTTCTGTTGATACTCTCCTTGCCTTCTCTGAAGGCATTCAAAGGTTCCTCCACTACACACAAAACAGCATTCTCAGATTGGCGTCACCTATCAGACCTCTGTTGTGACAGCCTGAGGACACCTCTGGCTCCAGTTCATTGTTTGAAGAACACCTTAATGCCTCATCCTCCTAGTTGTGATCTG